TGCTTCCGTTTACCCTTTGGATCGCTCTAATATATTCTGTCTCGGAAAAGAATTTAGATTTTTCGAAAGTAAACAGAAATATTTTCGTAGAAAAATAAAGTTTCCTTCGCGCAAAAGAGAACTTTGTGGCTAAACTCAAATATTCGTCTGTCGCTAAACGCTGAATAATTTTAAAGCAATCATTCCTTCGGCTTAGCGTTCGCGGATTTTCATTTAAACTGTTTACGTTTTAATGCTTTTACGCTACCGTCTTGGGAACTTTCGAAAAAAAAGCATTCGAATTCTTAGGAAAGTTAACATTTTAACTGATAGTGTCATATATATATATACAGCGGAACCTCCATATAACGAACCTCTATATTGCGAATTTTTCTATATAGCGAACTTTTGCAAGGAATTAAGAACACTTCCAATTTTCTACGTAAAATAACCTCTCAATAGTGAAGTGCATGTTATATATATATAACGAACTTTTTCTTTTTTTTTGTGATTCTCAATTCCTATTTTTAAAGTATTTCTGGACATTTTAAGTTATTCTCTTTTTTAACGCATTTTATGCTGGTCATAATCTTGAATTGGTTTTAACAAAGTTGCAGTAATTTTTCAAATGAAAAACTCAAAAAAGAATTAACGAATTTTATGAGTAATTAAATTTAGGGATGCATGCGGTATTACATATTTAGGATTTCTAGTTATAAAATAATGTATGTTTAAAACTACTTGTGCTTTAAATTAGAAAATGTCCATAAAATCCATTAATTTCTGAATAAAATTATTTTCTTAGTGTTGAAATGTTGTTGTTTTCTTAATGTCGACATTCTTTTCTCTTTTTATCCGTTCAGTTTTTTTCCTATTATTTTTTTGACGTGTAAGATATATAAAATAAATATACATTAATTCACAAAAAAAGGTGTGAATAATTACTTTTTTTAATCTATAGTGTTTATGAATTTAAAATTTGATTTATGTGTTTTATAAAGTAAAGAGTGTTTTTTTCCAGGTATAGAAGTTTAAGTTGGCATAACTTTCCAAGATGGCGACCGATTTAACAGCTGTCAAGTGATTTATTCTCAGTTTGTGGTTTGGCAATTCATTAAAACGATCATCAAGCAAGGCGTAGATTCGTCGAATGGGCCCAAAACGAGATTGCCGTTGTTCCCGATTTTCATAAGCGAATTTTGTTTAGCGATGAAGCGCACTTCTGGTTGAATGGCTACGTCAACAAACAAAACTGCCGCATTTGGAGTGAAGCTAATCCACAAGTGTATGTCGAAACACCGTTACATCCAGAAAAACTGACTGTTTGGTGCGCTTTATGGGCTGGTGGAATCATTGCTCCGTACTTCTTCAAAAACGATGAAGGCCACAAAGTTACAGTCAATGGTGATCGGTATAGAGCCATGATTACTAACTTTTTCATTCCTGAATTGAACAATCATGATGTCCAGGAGCTGTGGTTCCAACAAGACGGCGCAACATGTCACACAGCTCGTGCCACAATCAATTTATTGAAAGACACGTTTGGTGACCGCCTAATTTCACGTTTTGGACCTGTGAATTGGCCTCCAAGATCTTGTGATTTAACACCGCTAGACTATTTTCTGTGGGGCTAGGTAAAGTCATTGGTCTATGCGGATAAGCCCCAAACGTTTGACCATTTGGAAGACAACATTCGCCGTGTTATTGCCGATATACGGCCACAAATGTTGGAAAAATCATCGAAAATTAGACGTCCAGATTGGACTACATCCGAGCCAGCCGTGGAAGTCATATGCCAGAAATCATATTTAAAATGTAATACCACAAGATTATCTTTCGAATAAAAAAAATCCATGTCAATCGAATAATACATCGTTGTTTTATTGCAATTTAAAGTTCTATACCTTTAAAAAAACACCCTTTATATTGGAAGATAAAGCACTATAAAACGAATTTTCTATATAACGAACCTTGTTACGGGATTTAGCAAATTCTTTCAATAGAGGTCCGACTGTATAGACATATAAAAGGAAAGTTGGCAAAACATTTTTAAAATATTGTAAATTAAAAATAATATAAAAATATAATTCAAAATTTTATTATTTTGTTAATTTTTGTTAACTATTTAGGAATTTATTGCTATAATTTAATTTCTCATTAGTGAATAATGAAATTTAATTTCTCTGTAGGAATACTTTTTATCCGAAGATCCCCCAATATAAACTTAAAAAATAGTATTTAACATCAATACAAAATGAAAGAAAAATAAATTTACAGTACTGCATCCACTGACATCTGATTGTTGCAATTCATCCCAAATACCTAACTCCTGTAAATTAAAAAAAATAAATTTACAGTACTGCATCCACTGACATCTGGTTGTTGCAATTCATCCCAAATACCTAACTCCTGTAAATTAAAAAAAATAAATTTACAGTACTTCATCCACTGACATCTGATTGTTGCAATTCATCCCAAATACCTAACTCCTGTAAATTAAAAAAAATAAATTTACAGTACTGCATCCACTGACATCTGATTGTTGCAATTCATCCCAAATACCTAACTCCTGTAAATTAAAAAAAAATAAATTTACAGTACTGCATCCACTGACATCTGATTGTTGCAATTCATCCCAAATACCTAACTCCTGTAAATTAAAAAAAATAAATTTACAGTACTGCATCCACTGACATCTGATTGTTGCAATTCATCCCAAATACCTAACTCCTGTAAATTAAAAAGTAAAAGTTTTTCTTAAAAATGAATTTAATCATTTCATGTCTTTTGTAACATGGTACAAGATTTTAATATACTTAATTGAGAAGGTTTATAACAATAATAGCACAATTGATATCATTTTTCAATTCCTACTATTAGAGTTCACTCTCTCTATATATATTTATTTCAACGTGATTCTGTTGTTGTTTTTTTCTATTATGTCGAGAATTACTGATGTACGAGGAAGGTGGATCCATAAAGCATTGTTTAACCCTAAAGTCTGGTCTAATTCAGTGACAGCTCTAGAAATCACATAATAGGTCTCCAATTTATTCCAAAGACTCTTTTTAAATCTACCTTTATTATATCTCTAGAACTCCGATTTCTTTCTTCTTAACATTGTAGGTTATACAACATTTTCACTCTTGGTATTTTGTGTTTTATTTTATTATACTATATATATATATATAGAAGATTGAAATTCGAGCTTTCATCAAATCCTTACAGGAGATTATCAATTCACGGAAGATATTAAAATAACGTCTCATTGAGGTCATTTCCCTGATATAAGTAAGTGATTTGATCAAATCTCCGAACTGTTTTAGTTAAATGATGAAATGAACAAGTCAGCATTTGTAGAGCTCTGTTTTCGCTTGTTACCGCTCCCTTTTACTTCCCCTTTCTCCTTGTCCGTGCTAGGCAGCGCCGGACTTCTGACGTGACGCTCCAAAACAAAATGACCTAAATATCATTTTTTAGTTTTATTTAGTTACATTTTTTTGCATTATTATCTTTCGATTGTCACTTTCGTAAGCTTGAAAATTAGAAACTGGATAAAACTTCAATTGAAAAATGTAAAGAAACAAGGTAATTTAACCTCATGCCCCTTAATAGATTTTTTTAAAAAAGCTACTTTAAAAAGGGGGAAAATAACTAAAAAAAAAGTTTTACAAATAAAGCAGGATATTTCTTATGTAATACATAGTGTAAAATTTATTTAAAGAATGCTTGAAATTCTACCACAAATATAGTTTTTTAAAAAAAAAACACCAGCTTTATTATTCAAATATTTTGTTAATTAGTTTTAATGAATAATTGGTAATTCAATGATTATTGTTGTGTTAATTACTCTTCTTTCAATAATGCACCATATTTGCTAAATAAAAAGTTTGAAACTCTTGACAATATTATTTCATCATTTCACTGAAACAGGTTAGGTATTTGATCAAATCACTTACTTCCTTTAATGAAATAAATCACCTTACAGAGTTGTTTTAACGTGTTCCATGAATTAATTATCTCCCTTAGGAATTTGAGGAAATCCCTAATTTTAATCATTTCCCTGCCACACATGCATATAGTTCAAATTTTCAATCGTTAATAAAATACTTTCTATTCATTCATTTAAGTTAAAATACATTTTCTTAAACTTGTAGTGGTGACACTTGCTGTTAATACATTTTCTCAAATATTAATCCATTAATTCCGGAGTGGGCATTAAGTCGATCGCGATCGACATGTAGACCACCAAGACATTTTGGAGTGACCACCTTCACTAAGATCTAATAATCATTCCATCATACGAAAGAGTCCAAAAATATCGTATTTATTCGAATCTAAGCCGCATCGATTGTACGCCGCGCCCCAATTTCTCAAAAAGATTTTGTGAAAATTGAAAAATAGTCTGGAAGGGTTTATCGGTATCCAATTTTACGAAATTAAAATAAATGTAAAAGAAAAACTAACAAGAAGTGAATGGTTGAACGTTTTATCAGTATTATAAACTTTTAAATACATGCATGAAGCTGTAATTGCTCTAAATACCCCATCAAACAATTTTTTTTTCCTCTTCGATTCTAAGCCACGCCTGATTTTTAGTAGCATTAACATTGGGGAAAGAGTGCGGCTTAGATTCGAGTTATCACGTTATTTTAAAAAGTATGGAGTGAAAAAATCGAATCATAAGAGAAAATATCGTTGAATAGAAATGCACTTCGCTATTTCGAGGTAATTTTACGAAGAAAATCGTAAGATGTTCTTGGTTCTAGGAAAAAGTTCGCTAAATAAAGAAATTCGTTACATAGAGGTTCGTAAAATAGAGGTCCGACTGTATTATATACTTTCTCTTAGCTCACTACCCCTACGGCACTGGGTGGACTGCAACACCTCGGAAAAATTAGAAGTAGCCCATACTCTGGAAAAGTCTGCCCAACCCTGCATTAATTAAATTTTAAAGATGAATAAATATCAACAAAAATAATAGTTCAACACTATATTTAGAAAGGAAAATCGCTGGTTGTGTCTCTGTAGCGCAATGGAAAGCACGTTGGACTTCTAATCTAAAGATCGTGGGATCGAATCCCACCTGGGATAGTCTAATTTCTGAGAATGTGATTTCTTTTATTTACTATACTATTTTTTTAGAATAAGAAAAGTTAATTAATGAATAAATAGTAACAAACAAACAAAGTAGTCCAACACCATATACAGAAAGGGAAATGGAAAAAAAAAATTGTAAAGAAAATCACTTTTTATTTTGTCACTTAATATTTTGATTCTGTCATGTGTAGAAACAGATTTATATTAATTGTAACTATTTAACAAAAAGTAACTAAAATAAAAAAAAAAAATTTGGAGAGATCTAAGTAGGAATGACTTAATTTTTATATGTATATATTACTTGTTGTTGCTGATCTTGTGTGTCTATTACCTTCATCTATCCTGTTTGGCATTTTCACCCACGATTTCCTATGAGATTATGTTTCCTAGTCATGTTTTCTGCTTGCCCTTCTAGTTTGTACAAGAAGTTCGAAACTCCACCATTCTCGTATCATGCCACCAAACACATTCCTTTGATTTTGTTTACTGTCGGGAACAAAAAACAGTAAAAATAAATTGTTGAATAAATAATTAGCATTCATTAATAAAATAAATGACACAGGGATACAAAATTAAAAGTTTTGAAAAAATAAAACACATGTTTTCAGTGATTTTTGTATTAGAGTATTGATTTCGAAAATGACTTCATTTGTTCCAATCACGTCATGATTTTTTTTTTTTTTTTTTTTTTTTTTGTAAAATCGATGTCAATATTTTTGCTAAAACCCTATTTGAAAAGGAATTCTCTCGTACAATTTAGCCTGGGCAATTTGGTAACAATGGTTTTTATTCAGTTAAATCTATGTAAATATTGGTTCTTGGTGAGGCAAATTAATTTCTCAGCAATTAGGTGAAAACCATTGCTTCTAGATCTCACAGGATGTCTTTGATCGTGAGAAAAGCAAGTAATTCCTTTAAGATTTATACATTTTACAACCAATTATGGTGTAACTTCGAAAAGAAAATCACCAACACACTATTTTAATTTGTTTTTATTAAGGTATTTACATAAAATTTAGACGATTGACCAAGAGGAGCAAAAATTATGCTTGTGTACATACAAGTTGGAAGCATATTTTGAAATGCGCAAGAAAGCAAAACAAAGTTTCTTCTGGAGTACGTTCTCTTTTTACTTTGAAAATTCTTTTTTTTACGTTCTTTTATATTTAATCTTAGGCCTATCTCGTTTAACATCCAACAATAGTCGTCTAGCATGTTCTTGTCCTTTCTTCCTTGATATTTGCACTCCATATCTTTGATACCTTGATAGAAACTTCCCCATCCTGTTCTTCACTGACTAATCCTAAATTTGGAGGGAAGGGAAGTCCACATTTGTGTGAAGGAAATGTATTTTCATACTCATGTAGCAATCTAACTCATAAATTTCTCCAGCTTATTAACTGCAATTCTTGTACAGTCAGGATCCTTGCAATTTCTAAGAAACTTTCTGACGACATCATTGAAAAAAAACCCACGCTTCTTTTTCCTTTGTTGTCATGTAAGTCTCAAATTCGTTATCCTACATAAACTTGCGAATATCTATCTGGACGAACAAAGATTCCCTCTGTCAACTTGTCTTCGGATATACCAGGAAATTTTTGCAACTCAGTTGGAGGCAAAGGCACTGGAATATTAGATCCATGAGGTTTGATTTTTGCGGTTATACCTATGGATAAGACAGAAACAAAAGCAACAATTATCAGAATGGTTTACCGGCTCCCTGTATGACATAGAAACTCCAAATCGTCCAGCAGTCTTCTTTTCTTTGAGCCAGAAACGTATATTGTTGAGGCACAGATTTTATGATGAATCCATGATTTGTCTTGGTTTCCAGGTCTCATGCCAAAATACGCAAGATAAAACTTGTTGACATGGTTTATAATGCTTCTCACACGATTTTTAATTAAACTGTTTTCACCATACATGTAACAAAAGTCGTCTGGCAAAAAATCACAACGTCTCGAACTCAAAACTATGTTTCACGAAACGCCCCGATAAAAAACACAACTGTTCAAAATATTTCTGAGATGAAGCTCCTACTTACGCAGCGCATGCACTAAAATAAATTAATTACACATGAAAAAAAATTGAAACCAATTTCAAGATTTCAGCGTCTTGCGTTCAGAATCAATCCAGACGAGTAACTATCTGTTCCTGCGTCATCAAGCCAAGATAAGGATCTAAGTTAATGATTCGTGTGACGCTATTGGTAAAGATGTATTGTGACAGGAAGAGAACGAAGGCAAAGTAAAGATGTCACAAAGTGGTATTCTGTACGTTTCATCAAAGTTGAATGAAGGTCAGCCAAGGAGGGAAGAAATTCAACGCTGTAAAAAAATTTTGGTAAATGTGCTTAAAAATACAAGTAAAATTTTTCAAGAAAAAGCGACGTGATGGAAAATTTTCATTATTATTTCTGAAATCAGCACCGAAAAATACATTAAGTTCAGATATCACTGGTCTCATATTTTTTCATTGTAAAGGGTGCTTTTTAGAGGTATAGAACTTTAAATTGCAATAAAACAACGATGTATTATTCGATTGACATGAATTTTTTTTATACGAAAGATAATCTTGTGGCATTACATTTTAAATATGATTTCTGGCATATGACTGCCACGGCTGGCTCGGGTGTAGTCCAATCTGGACGTCCAATTTTCGATGACTTTTTCCAACATTTGTGGCCGTATATCGACAATAACACGGCAAATGTTGTCTTCCAAATGGTCAAGCGTTTGTGGCTTATCCGCATAAACCAATGACTTTACCTAGCCCCACAGAAAATAGTCTAGCGGTGTTAAATCACAAGATCTTGGAGGCCAATTCACAGGTCCAAAACGTGAAATTAGGCGGTCACCAAATGTGTCTTTCAATAAATCAATTGTGGCACGAGCTGTGTGACATGTTGCGCCGTCTTGTTAGAACCACAGCTCCTGGACATCATGATTGCTCAATTCAGGAATGAAAAAGTTAGTAATCATGGCTCTATACCGATCACCATTGACTGTAACGTTGTGGCCTTCATCGTTTTTGAAGAAGGATTCCACCAGCCCATAAAGCGCACCAAACAGTCAGTTTTTCTGGATGTAACGGTGTTTCGACATACACTTGTGGATTAGCTTCACTCCAAATGCGGTAGTTTTGTTTGTTGACATAGCCATTCAACCAGAATTGCGCTTCATCGATAAACAAAATTCGCTTATGAAAATCGGGAACAACGGCAATCTCGTTTTGGACCCATTCGACGAATCTACGCCTTGCTTGATGATCGTTTTGATGAATAGCCAAACCAAACTGAGAATAAATCACTTGACAGCTGTTAAATCGGTCGCCATCTTGGAAAGTAATGCCAACTTAAACTTCTATACCTGAAAAAAAAACACTCTTGAATTCAATGTTATTAATAACAAATACTTAACTAAATTTTATGGGCTAGAAACATAGGATTATAATCAATCGAAAATAAGGGTGACGGGAGGGGATTCGAACCCGTGACCACCTGCCCTTGTTTGCGTGATTGCTGATGATGTATTTCATCATTCATCCTCCAGTTTTGTAAATTGACTCTATCCACTCCGGTATTCACTTACTCCTGTTTTAAAATAATCTTTACCAAATATATATAACTAAGCTTTTCCAATAATAAAAAAAAACTTCAATCGGAAACAAGAATTCTTAAAAAGTAATTTGCATTACTTTTGTCAAGAATTACGAAATTATTTTCAATATGTCTGCATAAGAAAGAAAGAAAAGAGATTGGATTTTGATAATACCTTTTATTTTCCAATGAATACTATGATTCATCAACTCACAGGAAATCTTTGAAGCTGGTCATAATTTTTTTGATTTTATGAATTCTCTACATACGTTTATAAGGAACTACGTAACCACAGCATCCTTTGGAAAATGAGTTTCGTGCTGCCATCTATCCTGAATAACTAAAATTTACAATTCATTACAACTGATTTTTTTTTAATTCGTCAAATGAAACAAAATTCCTTTATGCAACAAATGAAATAACATCATTCATTTTAGACAAAGGTTTTATTAATATACTAACAGAATTATTTTTTGTCCTCAAAAATCTTGAAAACAGTACTCAGTTTAAACTTTGACTTGTGCTGCCATCTATCGATAATATTGTAAAATAATACATTTTGTTCTTTTCAAATTGAGAACAGTTTTATTATTATTAAAAACAGACTGTTAGTTTTCTGATTTAAATTACGAAAGAATTTTTTAAATTTACATTATTTTGGATATTTTTTAATTTTAAAGTTTCAATTAGGTAAAATTGTATTTTTTAATGACATGTTTTGTTATTTTTTTAAACATTGTCCAGAGGGGGAAAACTGTATAAATATATTTTCTAACTTTTACTACATTGATGTGAACAGAAAATATAAAAAAAAAAAAAAACTGAATAAATAATCACATTGCATTCTTGTTTTTAGAGTAAACTCTAATTTCATTATAATTCTGGAATAATATCGATTTTTTTCCTAAAATTATATTGAAGTAAAATATATATTTAGATTTCCTCTTTTATTATAAAGCCAATAAAATATTTATTTTTGTGCAAAATTAATTCAAATAATAACAGAAATTAAATTTTGAAAAATAAAATTAAATGAAAATAAATTTAAGATGCTTAATACTATATTTTTTACTTATTTGTTTATTATTATTATTATTATTATTATTGGTTTGATCTTTAAAAAACAAAACACAAGCTCTTTCACTTACAGGATATATTGAATACATCTTCGTAAATAAAATAGTTTTTACGTTCCTGTTTTTCAATACTCATAACTGAAGAATCTGTTCTCAGAAAGTAGGCTTTCATTTCATAAAGAATCATCTAGAAATTATTCGTAACTTTACTTACGGAGACAATAAAGATAATTTAGTAAGGTTTCCATTAAACTCATTTTTTCATGCGGAAATCTACAATTTGAAGTATTAGAGGATCTTCCCCAATATTTGGCAGTTAA